GCTCTTACTGATCCCAGTAAATGAATAGTCTATTGTGTGTGCTGAGTTTATTTATGTCATTACTGGCACACCTCGTGTGTGACATTCCGCCTGCAAGCAAGCACCGCACTTTAGAATGTAAAATTACATTTTTAAAGCTGGCTTTGTATATAAAGTCGCAGAACCCTGAACGTTCAGTGATAAATTGGACTCTGCAAATACTTAAGGATATCTAGTTACTTCCGAGGAGGGAAAGTACAGCTTTTACTGCAGTTTTGTTTAAAAGATAAAATAGCAGCATGGCTTTTAAAGGTTGTGCCAGGATATCTATCTATCTATATATCATGTCGGTGTAAATTGTTCGGCTTCCAATATCTACATTTCAGGGGTCAATTAACTAACAGCAAATAGGATGTTTACTTTGCAAGGGAAGTTTCCCTTAACTTGGTAAATGCCCTAAAATTTCACTTTGCAAAGAATACCCAATAAAAAAAATACATTATTTTTGCTTGCACATGATTGGCTGATGGAAGTCAGCAGAGCTTCATGTCATTTACTAAAATAAGGGAAAACTTCCCCTGCAAAGCGCAAATTCCCTTGCATAGTAAACAGTCTACTTGTCTTTAGAAAATCAACCCCACTGTCCCCTCTCCATATTTTCTGTTTGTTTCACTTATATGCTTGTCTTATGGCATGGTTGCAAATGAAATAAGATACTCATGGTTTCAAGCTGGTGATCATGGTATTTATAAAGGGAATAGTTTTTCCATAGTGCAGAAAACCTGCTATGTGTAGGGGACCTGCAGACAAAAAACAGCATGATCATGACTCCTTTAGTAAATCAAACCCTTTAGCCTCGTATGCAGTATGCATTAGATAAAATAAAAGTCCCAATTTTCTGTTTGTGAATACACTAGAGCACCTTTTTCTATCTCATCAGTAATGTTAAACATACTAATGAATGCATGTAGAAGATGTTTATTAGCAAAACTGCAATAATAAATAGTAGCCAATTAGAAGCAAGCTGGAAAATCCAACATGTAAATATGATTATATGAATCAGTGTGTGTGTGACTGTATGTAAAGAGGTACAACACATGTGGGTACTGCATCTCTTTAGTGTGACCAGTGCCCTTTATATGTCAGTGAGACATGTAAAGCTGAGCAGGACAAGTAGTTTTGGACCAGGCTGAAGAAACAACTTAAGTGTCTCTAACTTTTTCAAACAAGTGGAAAGAGCACCCATGTAAAAATGAGCTAGGTAAATCTTCAGAGTACCCATGCCCACTGGGGATGATTTACTGAGACTGTTCACTTAGCAAAGTGAATATTTACTTAGGTTTAGTAAATAGAATAACACTTTGTTCATGTTGAATACCCAATCATGTGGAAGATTAGAGAAAAAAAAGATTTTTACTTGCAAGTGATTAGATGATTTAAGTGAACTCAGCTTCACTAAGCTAGATGAACAATCACTTTGCTAAGTAAACAGCCTCTACACCTATAGTAAATTCATCAACGTGTGCACTTTCACTGCACAGTGTGCACCTGCTATGTTTCTTAGGTTCACAGCCCCAACAGCATTTTAAGGTGTTTTTTCCTGCTTTTTTTGGCTAGTGTTTATGGGTCTATGCACGTTTGTCAAGTGTTTGGAGGCGTTTTGAAAAGCATTTTTATGTGTGTTTCAGATGGTAGATTGTGTGGCAAAATGAGCAAAAAAAAGTGTAAAAACGCTTGCGCCATGCATTTACAGGTGTTTCCATTGAAGTCTATGGGGCCCAAAGTGCAGAAATCTAAAGAAAGTTAACTCATGTACATTTTCCAGTGACAGGCATTTTGCTATAGGTGACAGAACGCTCAGGTGTGAACAGGGGTCATAGAATGGGATTCCTTGTGGTCAGCATTTTGTAGCTCTGAACTTTGAGCTACAAAATGCCTAGGTGTAAACAGGGACTTAGGTTCAGTACCCAGAAGTGGGTTTCCTGCATACTAAATAATCAATAAAGTCAAATAGAAGATAGGATATACCCAGATAATAATTGTCTACGAGCACTATGAGGAAGTTTTCTCATTTGATTATATTTTTGCTAATATAAGTTGGACTCTTAATACCAATGGAGGTTTTATTTTACTTCAAAGAAACTTCTCTCACCAGACTCTGAAACTACAGTTATTTAAAACTGGTGCCAAATCAAAGAGGAGGAAATAAATGCACACAGCACTGGACTTGTCAGTGACAACCTATCAGGATTCACTTTACAGTTTGTTAAAAAATTAAACTGAGCCGGATGTAGTTGGTGCCAAGAGCTGAACCATTGTGCTCATTTTCTTTTCTCTAATTTGAATGGCTCAGGGCCATAGTGGCCTTTCATATTATCAAAGTGTTACATTTCCCATATTACACAACACAGTGGAAGCCTATGGCATTTTATAAATGAATGATGCTGAAGGGGATAAATGTTAAATTTTTACTATTGCCTGTCACAACCCATCACCTGCACTGCTACAAAACAACCGCAACTATACATTTGTTAATTGTACTTCAGGATATTAGTCTCACTCTCTCTCTCTCTCTCTTTTCTCTCTATCTCCCCCTGCTATCTCTCTCTCTCGTCTCTCTCTCCCTCCCCTATTTCTCTCTCTCCCCCTCCTCTCTCTCTCTCTCTCTCTCTCTTCTCTCTCTCTCCCTCCCTCTCCTATTTCTCCCTCTCTCTCTCCCCCTCCCCTATTTCTCTCTCCCCCCTCCTCTCTTCTCTCTCTCTCTCTCTCTCTCTCCTTCGTGCTTTATATATAATTTTAATTTCTGCTTGGTACGCATGTGATTAGTTTACTAAAGGTGTAGAGAGTGTTCAGTAAATGTTCACGTTGCAAATAAGGTGAAACTATATTCCCTTTGAATACCCAAATATGTGTCAGGGAAATTAAAAAAACATGGATTCTTCTTAGCACATGATTGGCTTGAACACAGTTTTATCCTTTTTACTAAGCTAAGCGATCATTCACTTTGTTAAGTGAATAGCCTCCACTTCCTTAATAAATCAAACACTATCTTGTGTCTTCATTCTTCATTATTTAAGAAACTTACCTCTGTAGTATGACATACTTTTGTGATTTCCCTGGTCTGTTTTATCAGTGGACAGTCTGCTCCAGAAATCTAGAATCTGTATATCTAGAGCAACCTGGCTCAGTGGTATAGGAGATATATTTTCTGAATTATCTACAAAAGGTCAGATGTAGTCATAAAGAAAGGTTCTGACGCATAGTTTCCCTAAATGCATATTTATTTTATCTGCTCTGTGACATTCTAGGCAGAAAATATCATTTCACATTCTTCATTGTTGTTTACCAAAATCTCATAACTGTTGAACTGGAGCAGCTCCAGCAATAAATTCAGCGCTGCTTTTACTACAATAAGGGGAATTCAGAAAAAGAGGGTGGACACTTCCCCTAATAACAATTGCTATGTATTATAGCATATTATATTGCTCAGGGAAATATAGACTTTCTATGATAGTGTAAGACTATGGCTATGGCACAGGAAAAAAAACTTACAGACATTTTCAAGTCAATGCAGAGGAAGAATGAAGCATCCCCTTCAACTTACATCCTTGTATCATAGCAATATATTCTTAGATACGAAAGTAAATGAGTAATATTCACAAAGATGTTTATCTTTTTGCACCGCAAGTAAAAAAAATAATTACTTTTAACATTTGGTTCACATTAATATACATAAGAGAAGTAGAGGTCTTACATGAAAGTTGTTTCCCCCAAAACTTTAAACATTTTAATGCCCTGGTGCCCAAACCGGCAGCCCCTTGGTGCTAGCCAAGAGCCCTTGGACACTATCAGTCAGCAGTGGGAATGATCTGGTAAAGTGGCTATAATGGCAGTGATTTCTAGTAGTTTTTTTGTAACATGACCCCAGTTTCTGACAGTCTCCTGTCTCATGTCTTCAACCACATTTGTAGCATGCTCGTAGTCTCTGACCATTTCCTCTAGTAATCCTGCAGTAACTAACAGTCTTCTGTAGCATTATGCATATTGAATTATTATGTGTGATCTCTTTGGTGATGTTAGGGCTTGCATTTGAGGCACCTTATATCTCATACGTTGACAATAACTGCTTTAAGGCCTCAAATTATTGAAGGCAAATAGCAGTCTGTAAGGAGCTGTAAGCTCAAGCATCCAATCAAAAATCAACCAAGCACCAAACAATACCAAGAAAATACATGAAAACACCTTTCAATATACTTTTAAAGAATAATAAACATTCTTTTGAATTTCAGTTTCCATAGTTCTCTAAGATCGGTCTACATATTGAGCAGACAGGGATATGCAGGGCTTGAAGAGTGCTGTGACCCTCCACAAACTATGCACTTGTGCAATACGACAGTTGAGTGTAAATAGCAGTTTTTGATCATTACTTAAAACTGTTCTTACATATGTTTACCTTTTAGCCCAGTGTTTGCCTGGAGTTGCCGTTAAAGTAAATCTGTTATGTGAGAACCAAGATTGCACCATTGTATTGCAAAAAACCCCAATTGTAGTGCAAAAAAAAGTAACCAATTTGTTTTAGCACCTTCTAGTTGCATCTCTGACAGTGTAGAGGAGTGTTACACTGAAGCTGTTAGAGCCCTTTCTCATGGGCATTCCGATCAGGTATGCCTGTCAGTTTTTCAGATGGACCTGATCAGAAGCCTGATGTTAATATATGGACAGCCGGAACTAAACAGACAGTTGTCCGTTTACATCTCGTTACCCCTGGCTCCGGCCGGATCAAGGAAAACAAATGGATCAGAGTTCCATTTCACGGGATTTGATCATGCTGGATCGGGGATAATCAAATGTAAATGGGGTCTGATAATTAAATTTTTTTCCCCTGCATCATAAGATGGAGGAAAAAATTGGACGGACATGGATGTCCCAACGGTGACATCTGTTCTGATCAGCAGGGGAATCCATACATGGATCCCCTCCTGATTGGACCGTGTGAAAGGGGCCTTAGGAACTCTTATCCTCATGATCGTTTTGCTATACTTGATACACTAACACTCAAGTGAAATAAAAAAGCACCAGTGTTATTAATCTAATCACGTAAAAGGCTCCTAGTGATTAGGACAATCTGCTTATTGAAAATGAAATAATTATTATTATACTATTACTTCATGAAAACCGGTCTCTGAAGTTATTTGTGTTCCTCAACAAAGCTTTATATGAGTATGTGTATTTATGTACGTATCACTAATAAATCATATGTGACTTATGGTATCCTTCTGTTAGCCTATTGGCATGTTCCTTAATCAGCATGTTCCTTTATCCAACCCTTTGTGCTCAGAAACACTAAAAGTAATATTCCCACAAAAGCGGTTATGGGAAGAGACTTGGGAGTATATGATGTATGAACTGGAGTCAATATGTATAATTATTACAACCTCTAATAGTAGTACATACTCATACTTTAGCACAAGTTTAACTTGCAGAAAATTAATTCTGGTTTGTGAAAGTGCAGTTATATTGACTTTTCTGTCACCAGACTGACAGCTGTAGAGTCAGGCAATCCCAAGTTTTTCAGCCAGTCCAACAGCATTTATTTTTGTGTAATATAGAATGGCATGTCTGGGTAAATGCAGCAAAATGGATATAATATTTACAAAGAGAGCACAAAGTTGTGTATTTGGTCAATTATTATGAATTTGTGAATGGGAGGTGACACCCTGCATGAGTAAAGTTGTTTGGAAAAATTGAGTGGAAAGTATGTTTAGAATGATACACATACTCCAGACTTGGTTCTCCACTCTAATGAAAAAAAGGTTTACAAGTGTTCGGCATTAACTGAATTAAGACTCAAAAAAAGAAAAACAAATCTTTACGACATCTGCCTAGTTCAAGTTGTTGTATTCTATTCCAGGCGAATGTTTCCCAGTTACAAGGTGAAAGTCACTGGCCTCAATCCGAAGACCAAGTACATCCTTCTTATGGATATTGTGCCGGCTGATGACCACAGATACAAGTTTGCTGATAACAAATGGTAGGTGCTATTTTATTTTCATATGCTTGCTTGAAATGTGTTCAGTTAGTCAATTAAGTGCATAAGAGCACTGGCCAAGCACAGAGATCTAGGCCAATTGTTAGCAGTTTGATTACTGGAAGATCTTTCAGACAACCGCATACTATTGTTTTCATAGTGTACATGTAATGCAGAGTGTCAGCCTTATGCATTCCATAGAATTATGGGGATCATCATGTATGAAAAAAATATTTTAAGCCATCTCATGTTTTTTCCTGATTTTGGTACACCAGTACTATTAGTTGTACTGGTTTTTGTGGCAGGCACTTAGCTAATTATTCACAGCCAGATCTGTGCAAGATGAATTGTGGTTGGATAGTATGTGTTATGGCATTTGATCTTTGCTTTGTTTGCCAAGTCAGTAAATGCAGAACATTCTATTAACAACACTCACAAAGACCTTTTCATGCACTTGCCAAATTTCACTAAAAGCACCCACGCACCCCTAGAATCACTCATCTCCAAAACTTAACCTCACACTAAAAGTTTATCCTATGTCTCTTAATTTTGCACTTCTCTGCAGTAAATGGCAGACGACAGGAAATCTGCAGCACCGGTCCAACACCCATGCATGTCATATCTTTACAAAGTTAACTGTGTGACTATTCACTTCAATTATGCAACCATATGAAACGCAAATTCCTGTGCTTATTCATTTGTTCTGCACATGATTGGATAATTAAAGTCAACAGTCTCACAAATTTTTTTGCGTGTAGATTTGCAACTCCTTTAGTAAGTCACTCTTATTGTGTGTTTTGACAAAATCCTCCATGTTTGCTAGTTTGCTACAACTATCTACGTGTTAATCTTTCCATGAGAATGAATGTAAATGCACTAAAATGCACGTAAGAACAGGAAGAAAAGATAACAGTTTTACCCTCATTAGCAACAAGACTGACACAAAACAGATGCTGAAAAAATGATACAGATTAACCAATGCAGAACAAAAAAATTGTTAATGCATGCAAGCTGCATGAAATTGCAGGTAGTAACATACAAGCAATTTTTCTGCTACCGAATAAAGTGTCTGAAAAAAAAATTGCAAATAACCATATAGCCTGTAAAGAAGAGAGTAAATACTCACCTCTCCCGCTGCCCATGCCGCTAAACACTACTCCATTGCAGATTAAACTTCCTCTATAGTCAATACAGAAACTGACGCTTCTGAAACCTCTGTGGAGGTTGTTGGGAGCAACCAAAGAGCGCTGTGGAGAACATAGGGGATCAACATTCCTAGGAGTGTCAGTTTTTGAAGAGACTTCATGGAAAGATTGCTTTTCAATGGAGCAACGCCGGATGCAAGGTAGTGGTAAAGACCCTTATTTACAGGGAACATATTTATTTAAAAATTGTATTAATGTGACAAAGTGTCTTTAAGCTTAACCCCCTATATTAAGCCTAAAATCAACCCTAAATGCATAATCCTTAACCCACGCCTTAAAATGAACCCCCAAATCTAAATCATATGTACATAAGCTAGCTTTAAGTCTCAAAAAACATAAGTGTTGTTCCAAAACTGTTGAATTTACCTTGACTCTGACAATATGCAGTAGCTGCTGAAAGGGAACAGTTCATTGCCAAAAATGACCAAAACCAAAATTGTGGCGCCAAAAACTCTAAACACTCTTTTACTGATGGAACAGTGTCATACTTTCCCCTGCTTTTAGTAATCTTTACTTCTGATGTACTCTATGAACCCTTTTTTTAAAAAGTTTAGGGATTTTTCCTGCAAACCAGTTTGGGGATTTTTCCTGCAAACTAGTTTGGGGATTTTTCCTGCAAACCATATCTCTGTTAAAGGAAAACAATTCCCCAGGTTGGATAAATGTGCTCCTTATATTGCAGTTTGTGTGCACAGCATGTCAATGTACCTGTCCACCTACATATTGTTTATCTTAACCAGTAACTGTGGCCTTGCCATACGGCATCTGCTATACAGCATGGCTATTGCATATTTGCTGAAAACTACATCATATATACATAACATAAAACATTAGTCATTAGTAAATATTATAATATACCGTATATACTCGAGTATAAGCCGTCCCGAATATAAGCCGAGGGTGGGAAATGAGGCAGCTACTGGTAGATAGATACCAATAAAATTACATTAATATTTATTTAAAAGAAAAATAACCTAGCTCTGTAAGTGGAAAAGGGGGTACAGGGCTACATACAGATCATTTAATACATTCATGTTAGTATCATTGTAAATGTATTGTCTGCACTGTATTAGCAGTATATACTCTATATGGAGTATATACTGCTAATACAGTGCAGACAATACATTTACAATGATCCTCTGCTAACATGAATGGGTTAAATGATCCGTAGTACATGATATGTAGCCCTGTACTATGGATCATTTAACCCATTCATGTTAGCAGAGGATCATTGTAAATGTATTGTCTGCACTGTATTAGCAGTATATACTCTATATGGAGTATATACTGCTAATACAGTGCAGACAATACATTTACAATGATCCTCTGCTAACATGAATGGGTTAAATGATCCGTAGTACATGATATGTAGCCCTGTACTATGGATCATTTAACCCATTCATGTTAGCAGAGGATCATTGTAAATGTATTGTCTGCACTGTATTAGCAGTATATACTCTATATGGAGTATATACTGCTAATACAGTGCAGACAATACATTTACAATGATCCTCTGCTAACATGAATGGGTTAAATGATCCGTAGTACATGATATGTAGCCCTGTACTATGGATCATTTAACCCATTCATGTTAGCAGAGGATCATTGTAAATGTATTGTCTGCACTGTATTAGCAGTATATACTCTATATGGAGTATATACTGCTAATACAGTGCAGACAATACATTTACAATGATACTAACATGAATGTATTAAATGATCTGTATGTAGCCCTGTACCCCCTTTTCCACTTACAGAGCTAGGTTATTTTTCTTTTAAATAAATATTAATGTAATTTTATTGGTATCTATCTACCAGTAGCTGCCTCATTTCCCACCCTCGGCTTATATTCGGGACGGCTTATACTCGAGTATATACGGTACTTCTTAAGATTGTGTTCTAACTATATAGAATCAATCTGACTTCTTCCCTGGCTTACTCATACTCTCTTAATGAAATACAAATATCCTGAGTATTCTGTGCAATAAAAGGACATTAAAATCACAGGAGATTGCTAGATTTATAGTCAGAAATGTGTGTTTTTCTCTTTCTGCATGCATCATGTTCCTTCATATTTTACTTCTAGTTTGATACTTGTCAGCAAAAAGAAAAATAAACTATACACAGAACTATTTTCTTATTGTGTCAGGGCTTTTATATAAAATTTGTTCACGTAAGGTAATATTGTAATACCCAATGGGGTTGATTTATCAGAACTGGAGAAAAGAAAATGAGAACACAAGCTGATTTGTTGCCTACAGCAACAATAACATTCATGATTCATTTTTCCATAGAGTAAAGGTGAAACCTGAGTGGCAATTTTGCTCTAATTTTCTTTTCTCCAGTGTTGATGAATCAGCCCAGAGTGAGATGAAACCACATGTTAAAAATATATATTCCTCTCAAATACAACCTGTCCCAACACCCTTTAAAAGACGGTTAAATATTGTAAAGGGTAGTCATATCTTTCAAAAACTTTTGACAGTGTAAATCAAGCAGTGATTTAATCAGCTTTATTGCTTCTCCATTTCTCTTTAAAATAATTCTACACAATTGTCTGGATTATACTTGCTGCACAATAAGGACATTTCAGAAATGTAATTACTCTGCCACATGAGTAGTTTCTTCTAGCTATTGTGTTGAGACTGCTGTCCCACAATGGGCTTTGCAAGAGGACAGCAGAACGTGAGCTGCAACACCTGGTCCAGAAAACAACTGCCTAGGTGGCTCAGGGCTACAATTACTATAGTCCTCTGTTATTATCTTGGGTTCTTGCCATCCTTATGTTGTTCACATAGACGTCCAGGCACTGCAATGCCCACTCTTTGTCATCAGGAAGTAGCAGTGATTTTCAGTTGCACATTTGTATTATCAGGAATCATCCATGTAGTGGAGTCTTAGGGCTTTGCTCATGGCCACAAAGATGGCAAAGCTATGTTTACTTTATTCAACCAATCATCAACCTATCGAGTGCTAGCAAAAATACTGTTTTTTTTAATTGTCTTTGTTTAACATTCACGTTGTTAGATGAACATCATCAACTCCCTTAGTAAATTAACGCCAATACATACTGAAAGTTTAAAAACACAAGGCAAAGAGATGGGTAAAATTAATATTTAAAAAAACATAACTACTCTCTGCTCGGCTTACATGATAATGTATAGGTCATATGTTTTGAGCATGTAGATGGGGCTTTATTTTTCTTACCCTATCCCTAAAATTTATTTATTTCTCTTGGTCATACACCATTTCATGAAACAGAACTTTCTGATGACTTATATTGTAAAGTCAGCTTCCTCCATGTTAGATGCTTATTTTTTTGGGTCTCAATATAAAAAGTGCTGAAAGAAAACATATTTGAAAGGGCAACCAGGTTTTACCTTTCAGTATTGTTCAAACCTGAATATCCAATAACATGCAGTGAATTGAAAAGAAAAAACAGTATTTAGTCTTGCACATGGTTGGATCATTGAAATGAATGCAACTTAACTGAATTAAGTAATCTCTATCTTTAATAAGTGAACAAGTACCTTTCTAGGGGAACACTCTCTACTCTTTTGGTAAATCAACCCCAATATGTTTAACGCATTACATTTTAAAAAAATGTAGTACCAATCCTAAATGAACTACATGCAATATTGCTTAAATTAACCTCTCAACACGTAAAAGAGAAGTAAACATGAAAGATAATGTCATTTGCCACTATCTTAGTATGTACGCTACACAGCAAACTAAACATACAATACTTTGTAATGATAAAGAAGTATATTATAAAATATTAAGTGCATAGGTAATTAT